GAGGAGGAGGAGGAAAAGGGGGAGGAGGACAGTGATGGCAGAGGGCTAGAATGACAACTTAGTCTGTAAAGCATCAGACCCAAGTTCAGTCCTGGAACCTATGCTAAAAACATGGGAATGGTGTGTGGTATGTGCTGGTGAAATCCCAGTGCTTGGGAGGTAGAGACAAGAGAATCCTTGGAACTTGTTAACTTGCCATCCTAGCGTACTTGGCAAGACCCAGGACAGAGGAGGCCCTGTCTCCGAAAAACAGATGGACAGCCACCTGAGCAACAATAACTAAGGCTGTCCTCTGGCCTCTGCATGCATGTGCACACATGTGCACAGACATATGCTCACTTGCACCTATGTGAATACATATATACACATACACAAAGGATAGACCAAAACTCAAGTATGCATGGTTTTCCACAGAGCTGGAGTTGGGAGATGGGGAAAAGGTAGACCTAGACTTAGCTTTGGCTCTGTAGAATAATAATGTAAGTGCTTACATATGTAAAAATAAACTTAAAATCTTCTAACAATGTCTTTCTGGTGAAATAATTTTCAGAGAAAGTAACTGGTGTAAGTGAAGCAAAGGAAAAAACAGACATCTGAAGTGCATGTATTTAGTTCTGTACAAAGTAGTGTTGAAGGCACAGAAGGAAAGAAGGATGTGTGATTTTTTAATTTATTATTTTTATTTTATGTGTGTGCGTTTATTGCCTGTATGTAAGTAAGTGCACTCATGTTGTACAATGCCCGCGGAGGACGGAAGAGGCTGTTGGATCCCCTGGGACTGGAGTTACGAACAGTTGTCAGCTGCCATGTGGGTGCTAGGATTGGAACCTGGGTCTTCTGCAAGAACAACCAGTGTTCTTAACCACGACTGTCGGATCCCCTGGAACTAGAGTTCCATACAGTTAGCTTCCATGTGGGTGCTGGGATTCAAACCTGGGTCTTCTGTAAGAACAGACAGTGTTCTTAACCGCTGAGCCATCGCTCCATCCCCCAAAGAAGATGTGTCATTTTTAAAACTCAGCATTTTGGCTGTATGTGCACAAGAGAATTAACTCCAAAGTCAAACAAAGTAGATTCAGAAGTCCTGGTGCTGATTACACTATTGGAATTACAGTTTTGAAACTCAATATGTTAGGTAAAAAGGCAATTATATTAATTCTGAAAAGTGCATTTTTTCATATAAAGCAGAATATTTAAGATATAATTTCTTTTCATTTTATGTGTATTAATATTTTGTCTGCGTGTATGTAAGTGCACTCTGTCATGCAATGCCTGCAGAAGCCAGAAGAGGGCGTCAGGTCCCCTGGAACTGAAGTTACAGATAATTAGCTAGCTGCTATATGGTGCTGGAAACTGAACCTAGGTCCTCTGTAAGAGCAGCCAGTGTTCTTAACCCCTGAGCCATTTCTCCAACCCCTTAAGATATAATTTTAAAGGCAATAATATTCAATTTGAATTGAAAGTATCAGTGTGGACTCACAATGTTAAAAAATATGTACTTCCTCTCTCTGTCTACCAGAAAGTTCTAGAAGCAATGAGTAGACAGCAATAACGAGTGCTCACCACCCTGAGTGTTCAGGTTGCGGATTTTAATGTTACTTGATACAACATGACACCCAGGCCCACAGAAAACAACTTCAAGGCCACCATGACATATCAGAAAGTCAAACATACTCATGTCAAGAAATCCATAACACAAAGGGCTGCCCAGGCTAAAGATGGATGAATTCAGGATTGAAAAAGAACAATGTGGGCCGGGGAGATCACTTGGTGGTTCAAGCATTTGCTGTGAAAGTATGAGGACCAGAATTCAGTTTCTTAGATTCCACATAAAAGCAGGCACAGTAGTATGTATCTGTAACCCCTGTGTACCTACAGTGAGATGGGAGGTGGAGGCAGGAGAATTCCCAGAAGCCCACAGGGCAGCTAACCTGGCAAGAGACCCTGTCTCAAACAACGTGAAGTGAAGCTGTCCTTTGGATTCCACACATGTACCATGGCATGTGTGTGTGCCCACATTCACACACGAACACACACATACATACACAGAGAGAGAGAGAGAGAGACAGAGAGAGACAGAGACAGAGAGAGACAGAGACAGAGAGAGACAGAGAAATTAAAAAGAGCAATGCTTGCCTGCTACACAATGAATCGATAAAAAATATATTTTTTCATAATTTTCATAATGATCAGAAAAGATCAGGACAAAAGGAAAGAAGACTCTGTTTAACACTGGAAGAGACAGGGGACAAGCTTCTTACTTTGATAATTTATAGATAAAGGAAAAGAACTAAGTATTTAGTCTACCTAAATAATCTGAGGGATGAGGGCATATGCTTCCTGAGTTCCAGGTGTAGAATGAGAAAGGATGGAGATAGGAAAGTCATCATTCTGAATGTCCAAAGAAAATAATTCAGGTGAAAGATTATTCATGGATGAATTATTCAGATAAATTGCCGACAGAGGAACTGACAGTAGGGACCAGGGATCAGGCAGTTTGTGCCTACTTGCTGCTCTATTTACCATGCCTAAGAGTGGGACAAGGAAGTCTTATAAGCCCTTGGCCGACTTCAGCATGCTCAGTGCACTGAGGGTATGCTGAGGAGGCAGGAAGGAGGGAAGAAAGGAAGAAAGGAAGGCAGGGGGGAGAGAGGGAGGGAAGGAAGGAAGAAGGAAAGGAAGGAAGTAGAAAGAAGGAAAGAATAGGGACTACATGAGAGTGGAAGCAAATCTCACCAAGCCTTTGCAACGAACTTCCAGTTCAAAGGACATAGGGGCAGAAGAAAAATGTGTTAAGTGGTACCATCAGGAGGAATCCCTCAGAGACCTCTTTAAGTGCCTGGGTGTTGTCAACAGGCCGTGGCACTAGGAAAAAGGGTGGGGAACTCCTCTGAACTAAAAGAGATGTAATCTATGGTTATACGGAGAAGACAAGTGGCTGCCAGTGGATGAGGAAGGCTGGGTTGGAGGAAAACAAGGAGGCTTAAGGATGCTTGTAGGACCAACAAGCATGCTTGGTACCTTGGCTATGGTCCATCTAGAACCAATTTGAGATACTAAGACACCATGATTTTTTTCTTCTAAGAGTTTCAAAGTTTGCTTCTATCATTTTTGTTTCATTCCCTGAGAGTGTATTTTCTTGATTGGATATAAAGTACAGATACCCTGTTACGTTTCTTAAGTAAACAATTGTCCCAGCCCCACTGATGGATCAGTCTCATATAGATGTTTAAAACTATAAGGATCCTATGTAGATTTCCAAAAATATCTGCTTGATGAAGCTTTTGAATGTGTATGTAGGATTTATTTCTGAATTTGTGGTCAATTTCCAGAAGAGACTTCGCCCACAATCCATCGCAAGTACAGCAACGAGTCACTAGGATCTGAGTCACTAGGATCTCATTACACTCAAGAATTACTTCGAAACTTTATTACTGCTCGTAATTTGGCTCTTTATCTTTTTCTCTGCTTTTATTGGAACACAGAACTAGCGGAAAGTGTAGTGCCTATCCACGCATAGTCCTCCAAGATGCCCAGACCCTCCCTGCTTGCATAGTCCTTGGGAGTAGGCAGAGTCTTCTCTACCGCCCAGCTGGGACTCTGTGACAGACTCGCTGCACTCACTTCCTAAGGCTCTATCCTACCTGCTGGCCACTCTGTGCTGTGTCCAGATACAACCAGCAGCAGGAGGCCCTTCCACCCAAGATAAGGTTCCCTTCTCCAGCACAAACTTTGTCAGGCTTGGTTTACCTCCATACCCAGGATAGCACCTGGGGCCAGAACCTGCTCTAGAATCATAGCTGGATGAATGATGTTTTATAACAGACAAACTGCACCACTTAATCCCATTGACATATTTGTAATACAGAATAAAGAGGTTAATTGACTGTGTTGTCTAATGTGGTGTAACATGTTGGACCACCTCTTCAGTTCTCACTGGTTTGGTCATCCAATGAGACCCTGGCCCGGCACCTTGTTTTTATCTTTGCCCACCTTGTTCCCAGTATCTGAGTTCACTCCCGTCTCTACTTTCTCCCCCTTCAAACACAACTCTTCCAGCTACCTCTGAGGTCCCCCATTCCCCAATGAATCACTCTGCAATGAACATCAACAATCCCTCAGGGACAGATTACTGTCGTCTTTCTGCTACGAACTTCCAGCTTTGAGGGTGTGATGGCTAATCTTTTTATTTATTTCTGAGAATTTTTCATCCATGAGTATTGTCTTTGCACCATTTCTGTTTCTCCCAGTCCCCCACCAACTCCTCTCATGTCTCCCAACTCCCTCTCAATTTCTTATCCTCTTCTTTGATTATTATTGTTACATTATGTATACACATTTATAAATATACATACACACATATAATGCACTGAGTCCATTTAGCAGTGCTCATGGGTACTTGTGTGTAGGGATGTCCACTCAACTGTTGAATGGATAATGAATACTGGTACATTCACATACTGGAGTTTGATTAAGCAGCAAAGAAAAATGAAATAATGAAATTTTCAGACAAATGGATGGAACCAGAAACCTTTATGCTAAGTGAAGTAACCCAGACTGAGAAAAACAAGTGGCACATGTTCTCTCTCATTTGTGGATCCTAGCTCTAAATCGCAAGTGATAGTTAATTTTGATGATCACTTAGCATCTAGAATGACCTAGGAGACAGACCTATGGCCATGTCTGTGAGGGAGTTTTCAGAGAGGATTAACTGAGGTGGGAAGACCCACCCTGAACGTGGGAAGCACAGTCCCATGGGCGGGGGTCCTGGACTGAATAAAAAGGAGAAAGTGAGCTGAGCAGCAGCATCCATCTCTCTGCTTCCTGACTGCGGATGCCATGTGCGCAGCTGCCTCATGCTCCTGCCGCCATGCCTTCCCACCACGATGGACTGTAGTTCTGTGAGCCACATAAACCTTGCTTCCTTAAGTTGCTTTTGTCAGGTGTTTTGCCACAGGAATGAGGAAAGTAATGAATACACAGGTCCATGAGACACATACCTGCCCCTCCACAATCCACCTGCAGATGGCTGTCTTTCCATCGTAGCCGGGTCGGAACTGAAGAGTGGCTGAGCGAGGGCTGATGTTGGAAATGACCAGGTTGGATGGAGCACCAGGAAGGTCTAGAGGAGGAAGAGAGCGGAAGGATGAATTAAATTCTATCATAGCTTACAGAGGATGCCAGGCTTGTCAGGGAGGACAGAGTCAAAATGACTCCACTGCAAAGGGACTTGTTTACAAAGCAGTGAAAGGAGGAGCAGCTCAGTTTCCCCCAGCACTGCAGGCTGAGGTCCTTCCTCTGCCAGGGTCTCCTGCTGGTCTCCAGGCCCTCTGAAGGGATGCTAGAGGACTCCTGTCTTGCTTATCTCTGTATAGAGCAGATAATTAATAGGTGCTTGTGGCACTAAGGAAGGATGAGGGATTACGTCCTCCAGGTTCCTGACCCAGCATCAGGAACTGAGTGAAGTCAGGGGAGGGGAGGGGAAGGAAATGTGCAAACCCATAGATTGCTTCTAGGCCTTGTGATCTGCAGATGTTCAGGTCTCACGTGGAGACAGGGCAGAAGTCTTCCCACTCTCCCTGTAGTCAGTTACTGGAACAACAATGTAAAGCGAAAGGTAGGTCTCATCATCTCAGGCTTCCTATGCTTAGGTACATTCATACACAGAGATGCTTGGTGGACTGCTCTCCAGAGGGTCTAGCTTACTTCTAAGTCCAACACAGTGTTCAAAATGAGACTCTTGATGTCCAAGAGAGAGACAATAGATGAAAAAGAAAGGAAAAATGCATCCAGATACGAACTAGTCTAAAGAAACAAGACAAGGGCCTGGTGCTGGGGCCTCAGTTGGCAGGGTGCTTGCCTAGCATGCATGAAGCCCTAGGTTCTATCTACAGCACTGCCAAGCATGATGGTACATGCCTGTGATCCCAGCACTCAGGAGATAGAGGCAGGAGGATCAGAAATTCAAGGTTATCCTCAGCTACATAGGAAGTTTGAGATTAGCCTAGGATATGTGAGACCCTGCTCCCCCAAATTTAAAATAAATAAATAAAACCCAGACAAATGAAAATAAGGCTGGAATGCAGCTCAGTGGTAGAGCATTTGCCTAGCATGCACAAGGTCTAGAGTTCCATGTCCAAAACAGAGATAGGGAAGGAAGGAAAGAAGGAGGGAGGGAGGAAAGAAGGAGAAGAGAGAAGGAAGAGAAGGAGGGAGGGGAGAAGAGGGAGGGAGGGAGGGAGGAAGGAAGGAAGAAGAAAGGAGGAGGAGGAGGGAAGGAAGGAAGGAGGAGGAAAGAGGAAGGGAGGGAGGGAGGGAGGAAGGAAGGAAGGAAGGAAAGAAAGAAAGAGGGAAGGAAGGAAGGAGGAGGAAAGAGGAAGGGAGGGAGGGAGGGAGGAAGGAAGGAAGGAGAGATGGCTCAGTGGTTAAGAGCACTGGCTGCTTTTGCATAAGACCCAAGTTTGGCCTGGTGTGGTGGTGTATGCCTTTAATCCCAGTACTCGGGAGAGAAAGGCAGAAGGATCTCTGTGAGTTCTAGGCCAGCCTGGTCTATAGAGAGAGTTCCAGGCCAGCTTGGGCTACAGGGAAACCCTGTCTCAAAAAAGACCAGAAAAAAGAAAGAAAGAAAAAAAGACCAGAAAAGAAAGGAAAGAAAGAAAGAAAGAAAGAAAGAAAGAAAGAAAGAAAGAAAGAAAGAAAGAAAGAAAGAAAGAAGAAAGAAGGAAAGAGAAAGAAAAGAAAGAAGAAAGAAAGAAAGAAAGAAAGAAAGAAAGGAAAAAAAGAAAGAAAGAAAGAAAGAAGGAAAGAAAGAAAGAAAGAAAGAAAGAAAGAAAGAAAGAAAGAAAGAAAGAAGGGAGGGAGGGAGGGAAGGTAGGAGGGAGGAAAGGAAAGAGAGGGACAGAGGGAGGGACTAAGGGAAGAGATGCTGTTGACACCGCTCTGCCCCCGCAGGTTCCTGAGGGGCAACTTCCCAGCTAGCACTGTTGTGGTACTTAACACAGGTCTTGCCCAGGGACAATAAAGCCCCTTGGTGACAGCTCAGTATTGTCACAGGGAGGGAGGGAGGGAAGGTAGGAGGGAGGAAAGGAAAGAGAGGGACAGAGGGAGGGACTAAGGGAAGAGATGCTGTTGACACCGCTCTGCCCCCGCAGGTTCCTGAGGGGCAACTTCCCAGCTAGCACTGTTGTGGTACTTAACACAGGTCTTGCCCAGGGACAATAAAGCCCCTTGGTGACAGCTCAGTATTGTCACAAGCAGAGTCTTTAGGATCTCAAGGGTCCTTCGGCATCTGGCTTAATGAATTTGAAGCAGAAAAACATGTTGAAACCAAAGGACAAGTGACTCTCCCTTCTATTTCTTGGCTCTTTGGATTCTTAAGATAAATCTTCAACATCTAAGGGAGTGAAACTCAAGCTCAGATGACAGAAGCCAGCTCCTCGGAAGGGCTCGTCACCGTGGGAGGCTGTTTCTCACAGTCCTCGCAGCCCTGGAGCCATAGGTGAGCTTGAAAGCTGAACAGTAACAGCAGCTCAGCAGTCTCCCTTCACTGTGGCATCACAGGCTTGTTCAAAGCAGCTGGAGCCGCCATGCTCACTCCCCACAATGCTGTTCCAGGTGTAACTTGGTGACAGGAATACTGGAGAGAGAACTCCCTCAGGTCAGTGAACTCATTTCCCCGCCAGGGATGGACAATGTCCAAGCAAGGAAAACCTTGTAGCTCACAGCAGATGTGCTTTCTCCACGCCCCTCTGTGGCACAGGTGCCATTTTTAACACAGTGTGCCCTCATCATGGTCGCTGTTGTAAATGTACTAATGATATTTGGAGAATGTACTTTAGGAGTTGGCTTTAAATACATGAAGCACGTATTATGGGAACTGGATATCTGGGTAAAATTGATGAATACGACAGGAATCTTTAGGGCTCAGATGATAAAATGCTTGCTCTACAAACATGAAGAACTGAGTTCGGATCCCTGGCACTCAGGTATATAGCTGGGCGCAGCAGTGGACACCTGGAATCCTAGTTCCAGGAAGGCAGAGACAGGAGGATCCCTGCGGCTCACTGGTCAGCTACTCTAAATTTCAGTCTCTCTTCTCCTCACAGAAGCATCTGCCTTCCATGTGGCTGTGGGCCCTGGAGGGTGGAAACCTTGGGCTTCAGAGACTGTGCTTTGGCTTCTTGGAGCCCATTGCGCTCCTTCCTGTTTAACCTCACTTTCCCTTGTCCCCACACTCTAGGAGACAGGGAAGGTGACCACATCAAATACAGTGGAAGGTTATAGGCTGAGCAGGCATCACATGTCCCAGCAGGAGCTGACCCCTGCCCTTAGCTCTCAAGGCACTCCAGGGATTCACATGGAAATGCCACCAAACCCTATTGTCAGAGATCTCCCAGGGAAAGGAAGGAGCAGCTGAGTACATCCACTGACCTGGGGGCACTCCCGAAGAGATGGTGGATGATGTGGCCAGGCCCACGCCCGCGGCTGTCACAGCAGCCACATCGATGGTGTAGGTGGTGAGGGACGACAACCCTTGGATCTTGTACTCATGGGTGGTGCTGTTGAGGGTATGTGTGAGCCGAGAGTCGTTCGTCCCATACACCTCCCAGGAAATCTGATAGCCTGGAAAGACAGACAATGGTGAGATGAGGCAAGGCCTCCACCAGACACCAGTCTGAGAGGGGATGTCACATCTTGCCTAGGCAGGTTAGGGACAGCAGGAGAACGTTCATCCAGATCTGTCACAACAGAAACCTTTCTTCTGGTGACTCCACCAAGAGGTTTTTCCTCGGTACTCCAACAGAACCATAAGTGGGGTCCCCCTTGTACCACACAGCATGACCTCAGGAGCTGGTGCACAGACTTTTGAGTGACAGATGTTGCCACCAGCCTGCCCCCGTTCATCCTTCCCTTGTCGCACTGACCACATCCCAGCTATTCCCACTTTCATACACTGTTGTTTGCAGTTCCCAGTCCCTGCAATCAGTGTCTCGCTCCGCTCCGGGGTCACAGTTGTTTGTGGAAACACTTCTAATTGTTTTCTTTTCCTTTATACAGAGATTGACAGGCCACTCTCCCAGTGTGCAAAATGACAAGCTTTACCTTTTACCTGCCTGGCTGAGTTTGGCATTGGAGCTCTGCCTCGCCTGTGTTTTTGAAGATGCTATTTTCTAGCAAAATTTAATTTCCCTCCCAATTCTCTTCTCTGTCCGGTGGGGCCTTGTGATCACAATTTATTCAACTTCAGATTCTGCCGTGATTTGGGGCTTAGAGAAAAAAGATCTAACTAAATGCCTGAACCAACCCCTTCGGAGGGGGCTGATGGGATTAGAGAGAGCTTAAAGTGTCTCCTAAAGAGGGCGATGGTGATGGAAAGAGCTCCGGGGTCCACGGACGAAGGAAAACTGCTGAGAATGCCTGCTCTTCCTCTTCTTCAGTCAATAAGCTTGGGGATATGGAGGCACTAAGATGCATCTTAGCATCCTCAGTCAGATGAAAGTCATAAATAAAGTCAGAAAGCTGCACTGGCGGCCAAACAGAAATTTAGAGGACAGCGCCTTGGGACTTTGATATTCTGAAAAAAAATTACCATCAGAACTCATTCCCTGTTCACTGTCCCCACAGCCATCACATAGCCTGGTAACTAACAAGCATTACCAAGTAGACTCATGCTGGGGAGGCGAAGCTGGAACAGCAAAGCCAGAGAGGCCATTCACTGGAGGGCTGCCTGGCCAGGGGGATCTTGGGGGTCACCTGAGCACCTAGATTCCACTGGCAGGGCCTAGTGGTTCTTTGCTTTGGTTACTTGGAGTACCAAGCCTCCCCATGCTGTTTAGCTGCCCAGGGTCTCAGTCTGGGCTCCTTTCTACCCACAGTGCTAGTGCAGGCTGCCCCTGTCCTGCCCCTCACTGCCACTTCTTCCCCACTCCTGCCCACTATCAGGTGTCTCCCTCTTCATCCACTGCCCACCCTGATCAGCCTCAATGGACTGATACTAAGATCTGAGCTATCCTGCTTAGCTGGTGCTAGGATCTGAGCACTCCTGCTTACCTTCTCTGTCTATATCTGAACAGACTCGAACACCACCCCTGGTGGACTTTGCCTGATTAATCTCAAAATGTTGCTAATCTCTAATTTCTGGCATTCCAGGTCACTCTGAAGGAGGGGAGGCTTTGTTGAACACTGTTGCCCTGTCTGCCAGAAAATTTTATTTGTTTAAAAGCTGTTCTTCATCAAAATTTACAAAAACACAGGATTTTGTCATGTCAACCTGGAGCCAAAGCACAGCAATTTTGATGTCTTCAGTAAGTGCTGCACTGTTGGGAGCTATTAGACTTCAGATTGATAATACTGTTTGCTCAAATTGTTACAGATCCAAATGAAAACCAAACAGAAAACTAAAGAGTCTGCTTTGGGCTGGGGAGGCTGCTCTGTCCGTAAAGTGCTTTCTGTGCAAGCAAGCACCAAGAACTGAGTTTGATCCCGAGAACCCACAGAGGCAGGTAAAAGCCAGGGGGGAGGGGCTGAAGAGATGGACTCAGCAGTCAAGAGCAGGGATTGCTCTTGCAGAGGACTTGACTTCAGTCCCCAGCACCAGGGTCAGGCAGCTCTCAACTACCAGTGACTCCAGCGTCAGGGGATGGGACAACCTCTTCTGAACTCCAAAGATACCTGTACTCAAATACACATACCCTCTGCGCAGACATATACATATATACATAATTACAAAATAAAAAATAATTTTTTTTTTACGAAGGCAGGCATGGGAATGCATTCTTGTAATCCCAGTGCTGGGGAGGAGGAGACAGGCAGATTCCTGGGGCTCATTGGTCAGCTGGCCTAGCCTAATTTTGAGTGCTAGGTCAAGCGAGAGACCCTGTCTCAAAAAATCAAGGTGGATGGCTCCTAAGTACAACACCTGAGGTTGATCTCTGACTTCTACATGCATGCACATCCACAACTGTACACAAATGTACACACACACATACACACACACACACACACACACACACATACACACACACACACGGCTTGCTATGGAGAATGCAAGAGAGACACCAGCAGAGAGAGAACACTATGGTTGGAAATTTCTGATGAAGGGTGTGTAGTTGGATTTCTGTCAGCAAGCGAATGGGCAGAGTGGCAGGCATGTGGTATGTAAGGATGTCTTCCACTCACGCACAGTTTGGGGAACATGTGTGGTGGACACGTGGTGGATGCTGGCAGCTCTGGCCTGCAAGTACTTTGTCTAACTCCAGCTTATAGCAGGAAAGAGTGAGGTGCCTGGAGCCAGCATCCCGGATGCATTTAGCTGGGTGTCCTACCTGCTGGGAACAGCCACGTAACTGAGACTAACGACCCCAGGAGCTTCAGAAATAATTTTCTGTTGATGTGGAGTAAATTCTCTACAAGAGAGCAGCACATCCAATCACACACTGTCTATCTGTATCCTGGCTCTCATAAATCAGAGTTTAACACAGGAAGAGTGGGACATACTGAAATTTACAAGAGTACAATGGGCAATTTACTTGGGCAGGTGCACGGCCGCCCTTGTTCAGAGCTTCCTTCTCATCCTGGCCCCAAACTAAAACACTGCAGGGAAAGGGGATGGTCACCGAGGGCCACGCTGACAGAACACCACTTCTGACAGCCCCCTGCCTACCATAAAGCACATAGTGCTCAGCCAAACCTTCAGCTATGTGTGTATCTGTCTTCAGTGGCACCTGCATGTCCACTGGGTGTCTTGAAAGGAGTGCCCACTAACATTCCCGGGCACGGGCTCTGGAGGCCAGGCATGTATGCAAGCAGTTTTTCTTTCCTTTAGGGTTTTGTGTGTGTGTGTGTGTGTGTGTGTATGTGTGTGTGTACAAGTGAGTGTGTACAAGTGTGGTGTCTTCTTCAATCACTTTGTGTGTGTGTAGACATCAGGTTCAATCACTCTGTGTGTGTGTGTGTGTGTGTGTGTGTACAAGTGTGTGTGTGGACAACAGGTGTTTTCTTCAATGACTGTGTGTGTGCATGTGTGTGTGTGTACAAGTGTGTGTGGACAGCAGGTGTCATCTTCAATAACTGTGTGTGCATGTGCAGGTGCATGTGTGTACAAGTGTGTGTGTGTGTAGACATCAGGTATCTTCTCCAATCACTCGGTGCATGCATGTGTACAAGTGTGTGTGCAAACATCAGGTGTCTTCTTCAATCACTCTGTGTGTGTGTGTATACAAGTGTGTGTGTAGATATCAAGTGTCTTCTCCAATCACTCTGTGTGTGTGTGTGTGTAGACATCAGGGTCAATCACTCTGTGCATGTGTGTGTACAAGTGTGTGTGTGGACAACAGGTGTCTTCTTCAATGACTGTGTGTGTGCATGTGTGTGTGTAGAAGTGTGTGTGCAGGCATCAGGGATCTTCAATAATTCTGTGTGTGCATGTGCATGTGTGTACAAGTGTGTGTGTGGACATCAGGTATCTTCTTCACTCTGTGTGTGCACACATACAAGTGTGTGTGTAGATATCAGGTGTCCTTCAATCACTCTGTGTGTGTGTGTGTGTGTGTGTGTGTGTAGATATCAGGTGTCTTCTTCAATCATTCTGTGTGTACAAGTGTGTGTGTGTTCAAGTGTGTGTGTAGACATCAATGTCTTCTTCAATCATTCTGTGTGTGCATGCATGCGTGTATACAAGTGTGTGTAGACACCAGGTGTCTCCTTCAATCACTCTGTGTGTATGTGTGTGTGTGTGTACAAGCCTATGTGTAGACACCAGGTGTCTCCTTTAATCACTCTCCACCTTATGTTTTGAGACAGTGTTTCTCTCTCACTGAATCTGGAACTCCTAACTCTGCTACACTGGCTGGCCATTGAGCCTCAGGGATCTGCCTGCTTCCATTTCCTCTGCACTGGGATTGCAAGTGTGTTTCATCTCACCTGACTGTTTCACCTGCTCTGGGGGATGGAGCTTGAATCTACATGCATGTGATTCACCAAGTGAACCATCTCCCTCAGCACAGTGTTGACTCTTTAAGGGCAGTGGTATATTCCAGGGAGATCCATGTCTACAGGGCATTGAATTTGGGGGTAGCAGCACTGAGGGCAGTTGTCACATGGGGATGGGGACTAGACAGCAACTAGTTAGGGACACCATCATACTATCTCATTCTGTAAGAGTGTTCCCCTCTGTAGAGTTTCATAAAGCATCCACACAGCTTTGAGGGACACAGTGTGGGCCGAGGTGGAAAGACGCCCAGGCCAGACAGTGAGATGGGAATGATGTTGTTTCAGAATTGAACGACAGTGTCTGCTGGAAGCTCTGACTGGCAGTGGCAGCCTCTTCCTCTGCCTAGGCCACAGGGAGGCAGAATCCAACTTGGAAAAGTCTGAGCTCAGAAGGTCAAGTTCTATCATAAACAAGAGCCAGCCACTTGAGTCCAGGTATTTGTTTAAATAAAGTATGAAAATGAGTTCATTAGGCCCCATTAGCTGGCAAGAACAGATGATCATAAATTGGAAGAACTGGCAACAAGTTCTTGGCTTGGAATGTTGGCTTAACTCAACTGATTTCTCTTCAAGCTATAAAATAAGAATGGAGAGTGTGGGCAATTCAGGAGTGTGGGGAGTTCAGGAGGGGGTGGGTGTGTGGGTCTGGGGCCGGGGAAGGCCTTCTGGATTGAGATGTCTACAACAGAGCCTCGGGGTTTCCAGAACACATTACATGACTTGAGAGGTCAACTGGGCAGGCAGAAACCACCTCACTCTCACTTTGCAACTCTAATTCCATAATCCGTGATGAGCTTGGCTTTGATTCAGTCCCCAGATTGGTCCCTGGGGGTCTGAGCTACAAAGACTTCCTTTCTGGGGCTGGGGAGGTGGCGAGGTGAGTAAAGTGCTTGCTGTGCAAGCATGAAGATCTGAGTTTAATCCTCAGAACCCACATAAAAATCCAGGCACCGTGGCATATGCTTGTAGTCTTAGTGCTGGAGGAGGTGGAGACAGGTGGATCCCCGGGGCTCCCTGGCCAGCCAGCCTAGCCTGCTTGGTGAGTTCCAGGCCAGCAAGAGACCCTGTCTCAAAAAACAAGGTGGACAATCCCTGGGGAAAGACAGCTGAGGATGTCTTCTGGCCTCTTCTCACACACACATGGCACATGCACATGTACACACAGAATGAACTCTCTCTCTCTCTTTCTCTCTCTCTTCTTTTCCGCTGAACTCCTGCTACACAGACACAACACTATAGCTTCTCCTGTGTGTTTCTGCCTCTGTGATAAACGCTATGCTAACCTAAGTTACGTCCCTGTCTGTTTCCTCCTGGGTTTGAGTCCTTCCCCTCCAAGTTCAAGAAAGTTCTCTTATTTATATGTTGGGTGTCTGCAGTCATGTACTGGGAAGTGCTGCCTCAACAGACCTGGGCTTTGATGTCTTGAAGTCGTGGCCATTCCCAATCCTGGAGGGAGGACAGTGTTCAGTACATGAATTTCTGGAAGGCAGAGTCAGGTGAACAGGAGTATGTACTTTACTTGAAATCTGAGATTTGATATGGGGTCAGCTCCAAGCCTCTGTGTGTGTGTGTGTGTGTGTGTGTGTGTGTGTGTGATATCTCTGAGCCCCGCATGAGGCAGTCTGGGGGACACAGCTCATCACAGGACTTCTGTCATGAGGAGTAGCTGGGTTGGCTGCCAATGATGGTACTATGAACTCCCAGTGGTGGCTGGTGATGCTGTTGCAACATCTGAAGATGCTCCTCTCCCCTCCCTGCCATGTAAGCAAGCTTGAGAGAGTTCAGTTTCAAGGCAAAAGCAAGCTGTTGCCACAAGGCAAGCCATGCCCGTGGATACACCTCATCTCTGCACAACAGAGACAGGTGATATGGCCATGCTTCTATGGGGAGGAAGTGAAGTGACCATATCCAGTGGCGGGGGCATAGTGCAGGGCAAATGTGTCATTCTTTAGTTTGGTGTGTATGTGTGCATATTCAGGTGTATACATGTATGTGCAGTGTGTGTGTGAGAGAGCGACGTCAGGTGTTGTTCCTCAGGAAGATTGCTTTATTTTGAGAAAAGGTCTCTCACTGGACTGGAGTTGACCAAATAAGCTATCCAGGGGGCCCCAGGGGTCAGCAGGTCTCTGCCTCCCCAGCACTGGGATTACAAGTACACATCACCATGACTAGCTTTTTATTATTTATCATTTTATGTGTATGAGTGTTATGCCTGCATGTAGGTAAGTGCACCTGTATCATGCAGTGCTAGTGGAGGACAGAAGAGGTCATCAGATTCCCTGAAACTGGAGTTATGGACAGTTGTTAGCTGCCATGTGGGTGCTGGGGTTTGAACCCGGGTCTTCTGCAAGAACAGACAGTATTCTTAACCTCTGAATCATCTCTCCAGCCCCCGTGCCTAGCTTTTTAAAGTAGGTTCTGGGGATCAAACCCAGGTCCTCATGCTTGCAAGGCAAGCACCTTACTGACTGAACCATCTCCCTATCACTCTAAATGTGCTAGTTTCATGTTATTAAGCACACATACTGAAGTCATTTGGACTTAATATATAGTATCTTACCTATTTCTTTGGCTTGGAGTGCTGGGAAACTCACTGAGTGCTATGGACGGGAAGGATGGGGAACCTTCCAGTAGGGTAGGAATGTGGCTCACGCCCAATTCGCAGCATACAGAGAAGGGAACACGGATACCTTGTCCCAGGGCTGGTGGGGCCACTCTGAATTGTGTGATCACAGGGGTTACCACCCTCAGCCTCAAGATCCTCACTGCCCAGTTAGAGTAAGGGGCCTGTGCGGTCATAGAGTACCAGTGTGCTGCAGTGCTGAGGAGCCCAGCACAGGAGAGCCCAGGGCAGCCATTCCTATAATTCAGGGCCCTCCCAGAAGGAGCAACCTGTGGCACAGTCCAACAGCAGCGATCTCTCACTGATCTTGTCTCAGCTGGGCAAACTTTCTGCATAGATTCTCATAACCGGAGAGCGTGAATTTGCCCTGGCAAGTTTCAGAAACTTAAGGAATTACTTACAGGCCCTGCAAATCAGAGGACAGGGCCATCACAGTGTCACCAGGCAGTTCCAGCTAGACCGAATGCATGCCTCGCTCAGAAGCTGAGACTTTCCTAATCCCCAGCACCTGGCAGTGAAACGCCTATAAACACACCTGCCATCAGGATAGTCCCAGGTAGGCACTGACATCTGGGCCCAAGCCTTATCTACACAGCACATGGTAATTAAAAGTACCAGAGTGGTGGAACTAACCTTATTGGATGTTTAACAGCCATACTTTGAGGCCTATACTAATGTGGTCAGAGGGACTTAAAGGACAGTTTTTGCCCCTTGCCCTCCAAGGT